AACGAACGAACGAACGGAGAGCCCAGTGGCCGTCCGCTCAAAAAGCCGCGCCACGCACTGGGGGTTTCCAGCGAGCTCTCAGTGGGATTCGTTATGTCGTTGATACACTAGCCGCCGCCGTTTGCGGGCATGAGCATGGGTGCCAGTGGGTCTCGTGTCATGCCGCCTGGTCGTTTGGTTTGTAATTCCGGAACCGTCTCCAGGAACTTCGTGTACGATGGAGCGGGCCTGGAGCCTAAAACGTTCGTGTAGTCGCGGCTCGTGTGATGTTTCCGGTGACGTCCATTGAGGATAAGGAGAAAGAAAAACTCTATTCAGAGCTAAGTGCTCCGCTACCCGCCAAGCCGTCGACGGGTCGGATGGTCGGTCGGTCGCTTGCTGGAACTCGACTGCATTCCAGGGATACCGTTCGCATTAGACAAGCGGCGCGGGAACGCGGGAATGGTGAAAAGGAGGGATGATGTGAAAAATTGTGAAACGAATGAACATTAAAGGGAGACGGCACCACCACAGGAGTAACGTTTCGTAAAATTGGCAAGTTTGGTCGCCCCGAGTTATGCGTGTCGGTGAGGACCAAGCTCCGAGCAGAATGGCTGGGTTGGGGCATTCTTGAACAAAACGTCGTCACTAAAAGTGGAGGGAAGCAGTTGGGTGCGGATCCAGTGAAGGGATTAGATACGACGATCCGGGGCAACGTCGGGGTGGGGGAGGGGGGAAGTAAAAGCAGAGAGCCAGAGCAGCGGAGCGGCGCGCGCCGTGCCGCAGACGCTAACCGGATCCGTCGAGCTTGGCTGAAGACTTCGTTTTCAATTAGCTGTCAGTCAGTCTCTCTCTTGCGCTCTCCGTCTCGCAGACGGATCTCGCACGGGATCCTCACGGGGTCGCGTGTAAAGAGAATCTCCGAGCGCGCTGCAGTTGCAGTATTAGGCTCTTGCTCGGGACGGATCACTCGCGCACAGCTCAGCCGCCAGAGGATCGTCTGTTCAAGATTCTTGACACTCGACTTCTGCTGCTGCCGTTTCGCCTCTGGTTTCCGTGCTCCTCGCTCGCCGCCTTCACAGATGTTGCATCCCGCTCATTGGGGAAGGCAGGAGAGCTTACACGATTCCGCTGACTAACTCTTCGTCGCTGCTCTGGAACCAGAACCTAAGCGAGACTGACACTTCTGACACCTAGTCCGAACGGATGTTCAGTTTCCCCTGATGCACTTGATCCCCATCACCTGCATCGAAATGGAGGGAAGTCTACCGAAACCGATGTAGAGCTTTCGGTCGAAGCAGACGACGTGACCCTGAACGAAGCTGTCACCAACCGCGATCCGAAGAACATTCGCTTCCCCGATCCCTCGAGTGAGTTCGAAACTCCTCCGGATGCGGTCCTGTGTGGCGTCTTGTTCGTTCCTCGTGCGCTTCCCTATGACTTGCAGGAGTCGTTGCGGCCGAGGAAGTGGAACGGGGAGGAGGAGATGGCTGTTTTATGGAGTGAAATATTTTACGATGGCCATAGAGAAGTCCAATAAGGCTTCGTTTATTATTTCCCTAACGACCCTTTCCCCATGCCTCGAACACTATGGCCGGCGCGCTCATAGTCTCCCGCTCGCATGAACATTGCATCCTGGAAGAAGCGACTCCACGAAATAGCTAACTGAGAGGTGGCCATCCAGCCAGTCAGCCACGAAGGCAAGCGATGACTCTCTTGTACTACTTGTTAGTTGGCCAAGGGACGGCCGGCCAAGCGGCAGGCCAGCCGGCTGGCTGGCTGCTTGCCGACCAAGGGGCCTTTAATTAGCACCACGTCCACGCAAGTTGACTGTGCACGGTTCTCTATCGGCCGACACGAGCGGCGCCGCGCGAGCAGGCAGACGAGCACGCGAACGAAGCCTTCCGGATGAAGGGCTAGGGGTTCGTCTTTCCTTGGCACTAAAGTTCCCACTAAAACCACCTATAATGGCCTCATGGATTGCACATCCACTCACACGCACAGTGATTACTCGGGTTAGGGCTATCTCGAACGCAAGCTTGTCTGGCTCGCTTCTCTATCCCTTCGCTGCGCTCTCTTGCTATCGGATGTATCTCTTTGTACATGAACATTAAATACTTGCAGCGTCTGGCAAGGCCCACCGAGCGCGCATGCATGTATGCAAGCAAGCTGATGGCAGAACAAGCGGTCGGGCAGCTTGCTTAGACTGCAAGAACAACGAGACGATAGAGAGGGAGCCGTCTCGAAGATTTCCAATCATTTACAGAACTCCGAAAACCTCGTGCAATTCAGACGAATTCTGCAATTAGACTTTAACGATAGGTCTCATAGGTCGCTCACGAGTTTTGCAACACGGTGACCGAAGTCCACTGGGACGCCCTTCAGGACTTGCACTGAGTCTGGCGCTGATTCGCTCATCATGAATATGGGGTGCCTTCGGCTTTGCGCTGAATTTATCCGTCGGTCGTTATCTTCTTCGTATGTTTATATCGAAGTACGATCAGACGTGTCATCTATTGCGCGCTGGAAGTTGCGATGGCGCTTGAACGACTCGAGTGATCGAGGTAACGCGCTCGGTCGCCGCCGCCGATTCCCCCCTGTCTATTCTCCTCCTGCTGGTCCCAGAACCACTTCCACGAGTCGTTGTGGTGCCGCTGGTGTTGGTGGTAGTGGAAAAGATAAGCCTTAGGCTGTCGTGTTCGTTCGCTCGTTCGTCCGTGCGTCCGTCCGTCCGTCGAACCTCCTCCGTTGCTACTAATGGTGTCTACTACGGTTAACCGATACCAACGTAATACATCAAAATTTAGCCCATTACTCTTCTGAGGAAAAGAATGGAACGGGACGAGAGATGGAGATCAAGGAGGGGAGGGAGACGCCAGCAAACCAAGAAGAACGACCAAGGGAGTTGAAGGGGCGCAGGAGAATGGAACTCGCTCTGTTGCGACAGCGGCGATGGGGGTCTAGCGGCTGAGCGGTTTGAAGCGAGCGTATGTCCCTCGATAAGCCGTGGTGGTAGTAGTGGTTGCCAACTCGTGGAGCAAAGAGAACTTCGGAAAGTTTTATCAGCCCACAGGCCGATGTCGCCGCCGCCCCCGCCGCCGCCGCCACTGCTCGCGTAAGAGAGAAAACGCAAGAGCTTTCCAAGCAGACAACGACAAGCGTGCGTGTGAGCGAGCGAGCAAACAGACCAGCCGACCGGGCGGCCCACCAACCGGTTGGCCGGCCAGCGAGCGAGTTGGGGGATGGGCGAGAACGTTGACGTCAACATCCAGAGAAAGCGTGCGAGAGGAAAACGGGACATCGGGGGCAGTGATGGCAACAGCGACGACGAGGGCTACGACATCCTTGTCTAATAAATCTTGTCCGTGTAGGCGAACGGGCGGTTTGGGGGGGGGAGGGAGGAAGGAAGGCGTTAGTCTGCGAATGAATGAGCGAGCAGTGAATCTCAACGGAACTCTCGTCGGCCTTCCACTATCGTTCGGTTCTGCTCATCGTTCCCCTCAACATGTTCCCCGTCGTTACGTTTGGGTCTGCTCGGAGTTTTCCACTCACCGCGACGCGGCGCTTTGGCTGCGACTTCTCGAAAACGATCAAAAGACGGATCCGTGTCTGAGCTGATCGATAGCTCACCTGAAACTCTGCAGTGCTTTCGATCCGGAGTCGCCACGAGGATCTCGCTTCTCCAGACGCGAGCTGACGGAGCAAGACCAGACGGAACCGAGCGACACCCGGCTTAACCCATCACCAGTGTCTCGAAATAATCTCCGGCACTAAGTCGACGTGCCGGTAGAGTTGGTGGCGACGGCAGTCTCCGTGAATAACGAGAAGGCCATTTTTTCCGCGGGGTCTTTCATTCTTCTCGGCACGATACTTTCCTCTGCCGATGTTCACGCCACGTCTCCGCCGGGACGTCCGGAGAGTTCCCGACCTCTCATTATCGATGTCCCCCCCCTTACCCACCCTCGCACACATCCGCGGCTCATCCGATTAACGAAGGAGGCGAGACGCGTGTCGCGACGTCTGGCATTCAACGGATCGAACCTAATGTTCCATTCAAAATGTAAATTGTGGCTTCCCTCGACTTAAGTCGGGCATTGTGAAAGTTTCGCAAGGTTCTCCCATTGACTCCTAGAATTCGGAGCTGTTTCGCGGGACAATAATGAGCGCTAAGCGAGACCGCGGGAATATTTATTCGATTACCGAACTCTGCTCCCTCTCCTAGGGGGCCGGTCTGGCTCCGTGGATTCCGACCGCACATATTGCACAAACCGGGTCCGATACAGAAAGTCGCTACGTTGTATCGGAGAATAAGTTCCATGAACTTGATACAATGTCGAGAATATCGTCTAATGTCACGAACGCGGAGCGGGCGTACGAGCCCCATACAGGAATGTCGGAGCTGTTCGAGAAATGTTCTCCAAGAGGCGGCTCGGAACGCCAGCAGAAGCTCATGGTCGGAGGAATGGGGGTCACAGCACGACTTCTGCTCTGCTTTCGCTGGAGGCTTATGCAAAGTGTCTTTCAGCTTCTCCAACAGCACTTTGCCCTGCCGTTCCTTGCCGTTTCGCCCTCGCTACCCAAGAAGTGAGCCCGCTCCTCCGAGCTCCGTAGCCGAACCATCGCGAGAACGACTCGATAGCCGCACCGAGCGAGGGATCTCTTCCCGGGGATTTTTTTTCCTACTCTCAAAACACCTGCGAAGACCGCGCAAATCAAACGAAGCTCGTATATCCCGTTACGTTCGGAAAGTTTTCCGAAGCTCGATTTGCATACGTGAGCCCATCCCAATCGCGGAATAATAATTATTCAAATGGGCAATTTATTCGAGTTCCTTTTCAATATACGCTACTACGCTACTATACGCGGGGAAACATCCGCAACGATCGATTCCTCTGAAATTTCCTCTCCCGAAGAAACGTTGCCTTGGCGGCGCAGAGACAAACCTCTCGCGTTATCTCCGATGTAAGCACTCGACGTTTCCTTCCTCTGAGGCTCAACGGTCTTCTCTTGTTCCTTTACAGCCGGCCCACAGATTACACCGTTCAGCTTCCTGCCCAACCTTCAGGAGGGGATGAGGGCAGGCATTTCGTGTTTGGTGCATTCTGGCGATCCCCCCGTAGACATCACGTGGTACAAAGATGGACAGCTCATTCCTCAGCATGACACCCCGGAGATGGCTTTTCTCGGCTCCGATGACGGTTTCCTGTCATCGCTCACTTTGAAGAAGCTTACCTCGAAGCACAATGGGAACTACACCTGCAGAGCTACTAACGACTATGCTTACGCTGAACACAGTACCCAGCTAGTGGTCAAGGTTGTCCCGAAATGGCGCGTCGAGCCTCGGGACACAATCGCCATTACCGGACGCAGCGTTTCAATCGATTGCCAAGCCACCGGGGTGCCGCAGCCTCACATCCGCTGGAAGAGCGCGTCAGGTCAGTCGGCACTCATTTCTGTAATTATTCAATCGTACACCTGCATATCGCCGAAGTTCCCGCCGTCATTTATTCCACCGGCTGCCAGTCAGACCTTCGGATTCGGCCGTTCTCCCTCTTCTGCCCCGATGTATTTCTCTCTTGCTCCGAATTCTCTCTTCCTCGGTCATTTTCTCCGAAACCCTCGACGTCGAACCCTTCCCCGAGTTCTCTCGGAGCTCGTCGTTCTCCCACCGGGAGACTTATCGGATTTGGCTCGGAAAAAAAGGCGCATCGAGAAATTGTGGTTCTCCATTTCAACGAGGACTCGCTGTATGAAATCCTCCGCGTGCGCTCGTCGTATCTTTCCTTATTGCCCCTTTATATTGATGTTGTTCGTTGAAATCAGTTCGCAAGGCTGGTTAGCGAGCATCCGGTCGGGCGGTCGGCTGGTCGAACAGGAGGACGACGGCGCGGCGCTCCGGGAATCTTCACCATGTTCCCTAAATCCAGTGGATCAAGACCAGCCCAGCTCCGTGGATCTCGCGAACTCTGATCCCGGTCATTCGTTAGAGCGAGCTGATCTGGTCACTGGCTCGCTCGACGGCCGACCGGCCTTCCCGCCTGCCAGCCGACCAATCCGTGGTGCGTCTCGGAGGGTGCCATTTGCTTGACAAATTTTCTCCCTACCCGCCTTCTGCCCATGAGAGAGCTCCGTCCAAGGATCCTCCAAGTTCCTGTTTTGAGTGCGGCAGTTCCTCCTCAAGAGCGTCTCCGCCTACCGACCTAGGATTCCGGAGGGAAATGAGCCGAATCTATCATATTTCCAAAATCATCAGAACTCGTCCCGCATGGTCCTCGGAGTCGTAACCTACAGCCGTGGGGAGTGAACAGAACGCTCCTTTACAATCGTTCTTGTACTGTGCGTTCGGGGGTCTGGCATCGTCCACTTGATCTGGGCCAACTCGAGAGCTGCCAGAGATGAACTCACACCGCCGTGGCACCAACAGACGACGCGAAGCCAGCCTTTGAAATTCTCGCTTCGAGCAGTTTTCCACGGAAAACGCGCAAGCGTCGTCGTTGTTGTTGCTTTTTTTCCGCTATCAAAAATGCAGTATGCCGCCGCGTGGAACGATGTAAAAAAAAACCGCTGCTTTACGGGAGACAAACCGGTGTAGGCGGACAAAAGGCTCCGTATGAAGGCGGCAAGCGCGCTTGAACAAATGAACGGAGCCGCGGTGTTGTATTTGTATATATTTTTCTTTCTGAAACGATCCAGGCGGCAGCGGCAGCAGCAGTAGGAGCGACCTATTGTCTGTAGCTCGGTCGGGAGAGCTCGCAGGAAGGCGCTCAGGCGGGCAGGCCGGTCGGCGGGCCGGCCACCCAGGCGAACGGACAGACGGGCGGCGAGTCGTAAGCGGGTCTGGGCGATGCGTGTGATGCATCAAGGTCTCAGGGTCAAATCGAATTACGCCGCCGAGGTGGGAGCGGAAGAGTTAGAAAACAGCGTCGAGAAAACAGAGGCAAGCCGAGGCTGAAGGAAACCTTTCGCTGGTCGCTCTCGGCTACAAGGTAACTCTTGATTACGTCGCTAACGAGCGTAGACTCGCTTCACGAACAGTCGCCCCTGCTTCGGTCAGCGGGGCCGGGAACGATATTCTTCCCAGTGGGGACAAAGGGAAAGTTTCCAGAAGCGAGACATTATCCAGCCGTTCTCCACCTCGGATTCCTTGAGATCCAGTGACGTCTGACGTTCAGATCTTAATTTCGATTCCGGGAGAAGACCGATGCGAGATAGATGCTGTCGAAAGTCGAACTTCAAGCCGTCGGAATCTATCACTGGTCGGATCACAACAGCTCTCTCGAGAGAAACAACTCCCTCACCTCGCCGATACAAAACCCGCTAACACGACGTTCGCGAGAAGGAACATCAACGATCCTCTCGAATCAAATCTCCATGGATACATTTGACACGGGAACGATCCTTCGGTGGGAGCAACGTCGCTGCCGACGGGAAGAGCCGAGCAGTTGTCACAAGTCAGTCGTGAAATTCTTTCCTAGATCTGTAGCTCTCCGGCGTCGGCTGCCAATCTCTCCGGACATGGGAAAATCCTTTATAAAAACAAATGTTCTTATTTTAAAACAAGCCATCTATAAATCTTGGAGACAGGAATCGAGGACAGAGTGAGGAAGACACCGTCGCTGAGGATGACCCCGATGTCGAGGAAGAAGCCCATCGGCTCTGTTGCGTCAGCTACTTTTTGTAGGTTACTCACCCTCCTCCGACGCGCGCACTCCTCTTTGCTTTTTCCCGGTGGCCATGGTGCCCCTTTTCGAGTTTGAAGACAAACGCAACCCACACGAATTTCTCGCTCCTTGTGCCGCGGATTTTTCCAGGAAGGAAATAAGAGAACAGGGAGCAAAAACGTTGAGAGGCTCAGGGGAAAAACTGCCGAGATCCGGGCGTCGCGAAGCTGTCGCAAAGCAGACATCGGAACTCGGCCTCGATGAGTCGGGTTTCGTGTGGTGGAATATCATGCGGCTCTTTGATGAACATCAGATACAATCGATGTTTGAGGTGCTTCGTGGCGGGTCCGGAATAATCTATGACAGCGCCGGATCACAAGATTTTTCTACTTTCTTTATTTCAGAACCGAAATCAGATACCTCAACGGCGCAGTACAAGACGATTATAAGTAATTCGCATATTCACATCCTCATGAACGGCACTTTGACGATCCGATCTGTCGAAGCCAGGGACGGAGGATTATATCTCTGCGAAGCCAACAACGGCGTCGGCTCAGGAGTTAGCAGAGTTATCAGACTCTCTGTAAAAAGTAAGTATCCAAGTTCCAGTTCCTGCCACTATCTGCTGGCCAATCTTTAGCTCTGCTGTTTTTCTTCACCTCCACCTCCTGCGCGCTCGCCCCGACGAACTCAGTTTGCTGTTCACTGACATGTTGCCGTTGTTGATGTTGTCGGGCTGGCTGATGCGCTGCAGTTTTTTCAGCCGGAGCACGATGCTTCCGGTGCTGCTGGGCTTTTGTACGTTAATTATTGACTGGAGTCAGGAAGTGCCGCAGGAGGCCGGAGACTTGACACAAAAACAGAAGTAGCCAACTCTTCGCGACAACTGCAGCTACTATTTCGCTGACGCGACCCGCCCTGGCCACCGACTCGGTCTCCCTCGGCGGTCGCACCCTACCTTCTACTCGCATCAGACAGAGCCTGAGCAGCATTTCACAGAGCGATTCCAGCACCCACTTGCTAAGCTCCGATGCGACAAATCTGGGGAAGGATACCTCTATCAGGATCACACCGAATGGGGAGGAGTAAAGCGGAGGTGCTGATTGTTTTCTTTCCTCCCGCAGGTGCTCCTCAATTCGACTCGAAGCAGAGTCGAGTTTCGGCTAAACGCGGCTCATCAGCCGTCCTCGAATGCAAAGTGAAAGGAGACGCGCCGATAATTTTCCACTGGTTTAAAGACGGCCAGCCAGTCGATTTAGGCAAACACACCCGCTACGCTCAGACCATGACGGACCGCATCGGCGAGTTCTCGCTCTCGCAAGTTACAGTGTCTTCAGTGGAACGAACCGACAACGCCCTGTTCACCTGTCAGGCCAGCAACGAATACGGCACCGACAGCACCAACGTGAAACTCATCGTACAAGGTTAGTACGATAAGGGTCGTTCAGTCGCCCCCTCCCCCTCTGTCCCCGTGATCGTCTTCGACAGGGGCCGGCTCCCTCGAAGTGTCCCACTCCCCGAGTCGTTATATGGACTGCAACAAGCGAAATTTGAAGGCCGTCCGATGGCGAAAAGTTCGAATCTATATTATCGGCCTGGTCCAGATAGTGATCATCATGGCGATCGTCGCCGTCGCTCACAGCACCTGCGTTAGTGCCGTCAGTCTGTAGAGGCCAGTAATGAATGAATGTAGCCGCCGATTATGAATACGGCAGCCCCGATTAGCTAGTCGGTAGTTGCGATTAGCTGGCTATTCAATTTACGATACGATACTCCATGCGGCCAGCTGCAAGTTTTTCGCCACCTGTGGCCGCCGCCGCCGCCTGTGATTTGAAGTCAGTGGAGCGTACGATGCCGACGCTAATGTTGCAAACTCGCGAAGTGTTAACAGCAGATCAATCTTCCCCAAGCATCCCTCTGGGACAGCTTCATACAGCACAAGTATTAATGAATTGCGCCGAACTGTGCTCATCTCGCCTTCGTTGTGGCGGCGGCGGTGATGTTGTTGTTGTCGGATACGAGAGACCATTTTTCCATCCGACAAAGTAATCTCGATCATTTACGAGGCTGGAAAGCTTCGAATCGAAATAAGCCGAGCGAATGAGCGCCGGTGACCGCGCCCGACTCCGAAGTGACTCGTAAACTTTGTCCCTCCTCATCCAGCCGCCGCGTGCTTCGGGGCTCCGGGGTATGTGCCTCGAATCGCGATCTCGGATGATATTTTGAATTCTCGCGTCTATCGGGGACGTTCCTCCGCTGTCGCCTCGTCGTTTCGCGCCGTGGTGCGACGAGTGAGATCGATGATCTAGGGAATTCGTTCCTGAATCCGAGTCCCCAAGTCGAGAGAATTCGTGCTGTTCATATACGACGGCGAGAAATGCGGAGCTCATGTTGACATGTGGCCAGCCTCATTACAGGTGTGGATTTGAATAGCCTTGGGCAAAAGGCGGACGATGAGCGCAAATAGGAAAAAACCTGTTTGAGTTTGGGTTTATTGAGCGGAGCTGGTTCTTCTCCAGTTTTGCCTCCGCCGCCCTCCCCGGCCGGCGAGCAGAAAGTAATTATGCCCCAGTTTGGGAACACCTCTTCGTATTCTCTTCGAAGGTGGCGGCGGCGGCGGTGCTGGCTTCTCGAGAGACATTTGCGAACGAACTAAAGAACGAAGAACCGTCCTCCAAGTTCGGCTTCATGACTTCATAGCTGTCGGTAATGACCCTCGTTAAGGGCCAGCCGAATGAGCAAAGAGGGAAAAGAAGAAGACGACGACGACGATGACGACAACGACGAACGGTACGGCGACTGCTAAGCACAAGGAGCCTAAGTCGCTCGTAACCGTGGATTTGTCTGACATCATAGCTGTTTTGTATAAGAACGACATACAAATGTACAAGTCAACGTCTTTTATTGGCGTCGAGCAATTCGTTCGCGCGCGAGCGCTCTGCCTCGGCTCGTCTTAGCTTACTGCGTCGGAGCGACAGGCGCCTTCGCGACAGGCTGCTCCCGCAAGGTTGCTGGTGCGCTTTTCTTTGTCCAATACTTTCTCCGACGCTGCTGTTGCTCTCTGAGACAGAACAGACTCCTGTGTGTTCTCTCCTGACTGACGCAGAAAGAAGGGTAAATATTGAAAATCCGATTCGGATGCCACTTGCTTCGAGGTATGCGGCGCTCGCCGAGACTTCGGATGTGGGCTGAGCTCTGCAGCGGCGGCGGCAGCGGATCCGGCGGGAGCAACAACGGCGGCAGCGATAGCGGGGAAAGAAACTGAGAGGCTAATATAGCGGGTGCCTCCTGCGCGCGCGCGGAACTGCCAGCTCGCTCGAGAGGTATCAAGGCGCGCACCTACCGACGTCAGTTGGACCTGAACGACGCCGAGTCGGCACGTAATTCCAATCGGGTATCGGAAAACAGTTAAATTTCCTGTGTGCTTCCTGTCGACAGAAGCGATGTCGATGGCAATTTTTTCCGCGGGAATTTTCAGAGGCTTGTATTTTAACCGGCAGATTTTTTTAAATATTTCGGCTGATCTTCTGATATCGATCAGCAGTTATTTAACCGACTTGCCAACTAATTTATAGACTTGGCAGCTTTCCAAGCGGCAGTATAGAATCGGCGGCGATGATTAGAAGAAGGGCAGTTCTCTTTAAGCAGGGGCAGACTTTAACTCGCTTTGTGCTGCTTCTCCAAGGAGGGAGCAGGCAGCTTTATTCGAGTGGCAGTCTTCCTTATTGGATCAGCGGTAATTTTTGCGTTAGGGGAGGGTTTCGACTTTGAATTCCCCGCTAGAGAGAGCGAAGTGGGGGAGTTTCGGACTAACTTCCAGAGGCATGCTTCCTCGGCCTGGGTCGTTAGAATGAC